TCAAGGAAGTAATTACAGTCTTTCACTAGCAATTCTTACTCTTTCGGATTATAAATATGCTTACACAGTTGTACTTTTAATACCTCAAATGAGTTCATACCATTTAGATGTATGGATTCATAATTCATACATAATAAAGATAATCATAACATTTATAACATGAGATTTCATGTTTACCATTATCATTGTCATCAGAAACTACTCACAACGGCTATATTACTATTGCTTAGACTTTTTTTTGTAAACATAGCTGATAACAGAGTAATAACCAAAACGGTAACGAAATAACAAAAGGCATGATTTTGAGAATTATATTAGATTTCCACACAATTATTTCAAAGTAACCTCACAACTTAAGATGGCTATTTAGCTGACAGCGGCTAAATAGCCATTTCAGAATAGAATCATAATCAATTCGAGTTATATTCGTCTTATGGCATAAAGCAATTTCTGCGTGGCTCAATATTTTTCTGAATCCGTCCTTAAAAGGCCTTTAGCAAGGGTTGTTAAACAATATCGCGCTTCAGTGAGAATTGAGCTCCAATGACTTTGCTTCAATGTCTCCCCATTCTTCAACTTGTCCTATTTTAGTCAGATTTTTTGTTAAACTACTAATTTTATACAGTTCTTTATGACACTTATTATAAAGGTCAAATTCTCATTTTCGATTTTATGGACCATTACTGTCGCCATAGAAGGAGGAATTAGGCCAACAATTAAGATTTAGTTTAATTTGACTTTGCCTTTTTATGCCTGCTATGCTTTTCTTCATTATTAATGAGTTTTGGGAAAAGTCGTACTATTATCTAATTTCCGTATAGTGGAAATAACGAAAGGTAATCAAATAGTATTCTTATTTCCTATTATTGAACAGGCCGACAGTAGCATATAGACTAAATAAACTTCAGAGGGGGACATTATGTCTTAATATGCTAGTGGCAAAAACTTAATATTGAGAGTATCAGTGTTATATACCATGTTTTGTGAATAGCTTATTATTTTTTCTTATTTAACTCTTGAAATTGACTTGCTCGCACATCGCTATTAAAAATAACCTCTCTGCGTTTTTTTTTTCCCAAAATCAAAACGGTAGAAAAAGGGAGCGTTTATCAGAGCCAAATGAGTGATGGGAGGTATATAAACTCAAACTAAACAAACATCAGAACTCGCGTTTTCTGGCAAAAATTGTTTCTAACGAAAAGATTGAAAAAAGAAGACGTTAAAACAGTAGGTCATTTTGAACTTTGTGCAAACCGATAAAGATTGAATGATACAGAAGACTCGATGAAATGAAGGAGAAGACTAGGCGAAAGTGTTGAATATCGTAATGATTAATCCAAATTTGTTCTTGTGAGCTGAGACTAGTGGCTATTTCATGGCTCACGAATTCAAAAAGCACTGTACTTCCAGCTAGGAGAGCACATTACATGAACTTACGAATAACTTGTGAAGAAAGGGTGTGTTGCAGTATGATTTAGAGATGTATATAAAAGAATCTCTACCCAGCACATATCCCAAATTTTTTTTTCATTTCTGCTGAACGACACTC